AGGAGGAACGGGCTTTGCAAATGCGGCGAGGGTGCAAAATAAAATGGGGCGGGGGGGGGGGGATTTAGTAATGCAAAGTGGGGAGGGGAGATCTAGGAGAGAAAGCATGCCTTGGCCCACCCCCCACCCCGGGAAAATATTGCTCTGTGGGGCACGGGGAGAAGGTGGCGGTTCACGTGCTTGGTTTTTGCCTTTGGAGAGAGGCTGGTGAACGGTGGGAAATACCTGGAGCTCTCTTCTCCAGGGGGACTGATCTTGGCCGTCTGGAGATCAGTTGTAAGAGCAGGAGATCCTCCAGGTGCCCCCCTGGAGGTTGGCAACCCTAGAACGACAGTACCACAAAGGCCACTGCAATAGCATTGTAGCCTCTCGGTATAGATGACAAGTTTCGAATAGTTCAGTTGCTTCTGGAGCATTAAAGTAAAGGTAAAGGTTCCCTTGCTCGAAAGCCAGTCGAATCCGACACTAGGGTTGCGGTGCTCATCTCCGTTTCCAAGCCGAAGAGCCAGCGCTGTCCGAAGACGTTTCCGTGGTCATGTGGCCGGCATGACTAAACACCAAGGCGCACGGAACGCTGTGACCTTCCCACCGAAGTGGTACCTATTTATCTACTTGCAATTTCTTGCTTTCGAACTGCTAGGTTGGCAGGAGCTGGAACTAGAGACGGGAGCTCACTCCGTCATGGGGGCCTCGAACTGCTGAACTACTGACCTTCCACAGCCTGCAGTTCAGCGTCTTAACCACTTGCTACCAGCTGGTCAGGTAGGCAGGCCTTATTTCCCTTCCTCCTGCAGGAGGAGGAACCAGGACATGACTAAGGTCTCTTAGTGCATCAGTGGCAGAGGGAAGATTCGAAACAGGGACTTGCTTTTAGCTACCTTTCTGTCTGACTCAGCCGGCAGGGCTGTAGCCGGCGGTGGGGCTTTAAGGGCTGAGTCCTGCAGTCCTCAGAAGTTCAGAATTGGGTCAGCCATCAACCCACAGATCAATAAACCCCAATTTTGAACTTCCGAGGACTGTAGGACTCACTTGCGCAACTCAGGAGCCATCTTCATTTCACGTCCCACCCCTGGCATGAGGGGGGGGGCACTTTGTACCGCCCACAGTGTGCCCGGAAGCAGATAGATGCAACCAAGAAGCTAGTGGCATTTAAGCTTGTTGCACTGCAAATGGATTTGGTCATATTTTGACATTATTGGGTGTGTATTTTTAGGCAACGCGCAGCCAATACTATTGAATTAGGTAACCAATGTTTAGGTGGTGCCCAGACCTCGATGGCCCAGGCTAGCTTGATCTCATCAGCTCTCGGAAGCTAAGCAGGATCGGTCCTGGTGAGGCACTTGGATGGGAGACCAGCGAGGAAGACCAGGGTTGCAACGCAGAGGCAGCCAATGGCAAACCACCTCTGAACATCTCTGGACTTGAAAGCGCTACAGGGTTGCCGTAAATCAGCTGAGACTTGACGGCACTTTCCACCACCGTGTTTAGGCGATGCAGCGGTGTGGCTCTTTTGGTTGAAGGTAACTGGGAACGTTGACACTCCAGGAACCACTGGCTTAGGCTGTTAAGACTCCTTGGAATACTCATTTTTACACCAAGACAGGATTCACAAATTCGTTGTTGTAGATTTTCCGGGTTGTGTCTTGGCGCTGTAGGGCCTGACATTTTCTTCTTTTTTTTCCACAACAATTTATTAGGATATTATTAGTTCAAACATACAACATATTATTTTTTGTTGTACATCCTTTCTTCTCTTCCCCCCCCCTTTTTCTGGCTTCCCACAGTGCTCCAGCCCATTTCTTAGTTCTTTTCTATTTTCCACTTATCTTCTATTCATAGTCTACCGGTAACGCTTCTTTCTACTAGTATTTTCTCTTAGATAACTTTCATCTAATAACATTAACTTTTCAATAATTGTCAAAGCAGATTAAATTGTCTTTTACATCCCAATATTTTTCTAGATACTCTTTAAAGTCTGTAGGACCTGACATTTTCGCCAACAGCTGTGACTGGCATCCTCAGAGGTATAACACAGAAAGGTAGAGTACCCTCTGTGTCAAGGTGAGGCTTTAGGGGCTCACAAAGCAAGATCAGAATGCAGGGGGGGGTCTCTCTCCTCTTACCACTGCGACTTAATCCTTTACCGTACAAACACAGGACAAATGCTGCCCCTCAAACCCACATTTTCTGACCACTCCAGGTACATGGAAACCAGTTGCATGGCAAAAAAAAAGCGGCCTTGGTTCACACTTCCGGACACCCCGAGAGGACCAGTACCGGAGGGTAGCGTCAAAAGTAAACATTTGCTGGCAGCCAAAACTGAGACCTCGCAACCTTTTAAATTTGGCTTGAAGCACCCGAGAAGGACTCTTGTGCAACTTATGTTGGCAAGAATGCTCATTGGCACTGCCAGTGCCTTGGTGGCAACCAGTGTTCCCTCTAAGCTGAGTTAATGTGAGCTAGCTCACATTTTTTTAGCCTCCGGCTCACACATTTTTGCCTTCGCTCAGGAAGGGATGGCTACAGAGCAAACTAATTTATGCAGTAGCCAAACTGCTTGCTCACAATTTTAATGCCAGTAGCTCACAAAGTAGAATTTCTGCTCACAAGACTCAACAGCTTAGAGGGAACATTGGTGGCAACTTCTCTTCCAAGTTTACCAGGCCGTTAACTTAAACACTCAGGGGGCTTGAAAGACAGTTGTAAAGTCTTGTGCTTGAGAACACCATGGGCTTGGATAAATGCTAGCTTCCTTCCACATGGTGGGGCTGTAGCCCAGTGGAAGAGTGCTTGCTTTGCTAACAGAAGGCCCCAGGGTCTAATCCTTGGTATCTGCCCTCTAAAAAGAACCCAAGGTAGCAGGTGATGGAAAACAGGAAGGGAAGGGTCATTCCTGAAACACCACTGCTGGTCCAACTATTAGAATTAGTCCCCACCCAACCCAAACTGCTGGGCTGTATCCAATGCCTCCCTCTAAGCTGTGGAGTCTTGGGAGCAAAAAAATTCTACTTTGTGAGCTGCTGGCATTAAAGGTGTGAGCAGTTTGGTTGCTGCATAAATTATTTTGCTCTGGAGCCATCCCTTCCTGAGCTAAGAAAAAAATGTGTGAGCCAGAGACTTAAAAACTGAGCTAGCACACACTAACTCAGCATAGAGGGAACACTGGCTGTATCCCAAGTTTGCTTCCAGATCTGCCCCTTCCCAGCTTTTCCAAGATCCCTCATTTTTTTTGGTAGAAGAAGAGATTGGATTTATACCTTGTGAGGTAGAGAGCTCTTTCGAGAACTGCTCTTGAGAGAACAGCTCAAAGAGAACTTCTGACTGACCCAAGGTCACACCAGCAGCTGCATGTGGAAGAGTGGGGAATCAAACCTGGTTCCCCCAGATTAGAGTCCGCACTCCTAACACTACACCAAACTGGCTCTTGTTTTGTTTCAGTCCTTGGCAAACGTAGTGGCCATATGCAGATTTCAGAGTGGCCAAATGCGGATTTTAAAAAGGCCAATTCAAAGTAAAACGATTGGGGCTGATTTCGCCTTTCCCCAGCCATTCGTTGCCAGGCGTTTCAGCCCATCTGCCAGTAGCGTTCTGTGATTTGGAGCACAGAGTTAATTCCGGCAACGCAATCCACGGGGAGAAGATTTCCAGCAGAATCCAAAAGCAGAACGTCGCGGCGACGGCTGATACATATGCGAGTGGCGCACAGGATTAAAGATCTCTCTGCTTGTTAATTTCTTTTGCTTAGTCTACTGTTATTTTTCCAACTGGGCTGAGCAGCAAAATTCTCTTGGTAGTGTTAACATCTCATTCTCTCTTTCAACCCTATTCCTTCCTGCAAGGAGTGTGTGTGTGTGGGGGGGGATTACAGGGTCATCCTCCTTTCCTATTTTTTTAGGAAATGCAGTAGGCTCAGAGAGAATGGCCCAAGGTCAGTAGAGAGTCAAACACAGATCTCCCTAATCTCACACCAGCACCTAACCATAAGAACATAAGAGAAGCCATGTTGGATCAGGCCAGTGGCCCATCCAGTCCAACACTGTGTCACACAGTGGCCAAAACCCAGGGGCCATCAGGAGGTCCACCAGCGGGGCCAGAAGTCCAGATGGCCCCCCAGTGTTGCCCCCCAAGACCAAGAAACCGGCGCATCAGTGCGCCAGACATAAGAATGTAAGAGAAGCCATGTTGGATCAGGCCAGTGGCCCATCCAGTCCAACACTCTGTCACACAGTGACCAAAACCCCAGGTGCCATCAGGAGGTCCACCAACGGCCAGAACTCCAGAAGCCCTCCCACTCTTGCCCCCCAAGCACCAGGAATACAGAGCATCAGTGCCCCAGACATAAGAACGTAAGAGAAGCCATGTTGGATCAGGCCAGTGGCCCATCCAGTCCAACACTGTCACACAGTGGCCAAAACCTAGGGGCCATCAGGAGGTCCACCAGCAGGGCCAGAACTCCAGAAGCCCTCCCACTGTGCCCCCCCCCCCAAGACCAAGAAGACAAAACATCACTGCCCCAGGCAGAGTGTTTCACCTATACCTTGTGGCTAATAGCCACCGATGGACCTCTGCTCCAGATGTTTATCCAGTCCCCTCTCCAAGTTGTCTGTGTTTGCAGCCGCCGCCACTTCCTGTGGCAATGAATTTTGCATGTCAATTACTCTTTGGGTGACAGAGTACTTCTACTGCTGCGCGCCAGCTGTTTCCATTCTGCTCCAGTTGCACAAAATTCTGCCCTGGTGCAACGATACCGAATTGAGTGTGGAGCTATGCAGATAGAGGCTACCTTGATATGACTTAAGTTGTTGACAGCCTACCTCTCTCACTAAGACCCGAGGGCAATCACACTGTGTAAGCCAATATAATCAACAGGATGGGACATCCGAG